CCCATCTTTTTCTTGCTCGAGATCGGACGGTGGTCGGAAACCGGCCACTAGAGCCGGAAGCCCAGATGCCACCGCTCACACAACTGATAAACCAATTATTATTATTATTATTATTATTATTTGATTTATAGTTTATATCTTTAAAATTTTAATGTTAGTCTAACCTAAATAATTTTATGGCATGTTAACGCTTATGGGTGGTGTTTTCAAAAGCTTATATTAACAAAACTTTTTTGAAATATGAGGTATGATAAAAAAAATGGTTATCTTTATAGATATGCATAGTGTAAAATTATTTTTTAAAATAATGGGTTTTTTTATTTTAAAAAAAAAATTTAACTCACTAAAACTCTTAGACTACATGTTTTATGAATAATGGTTTTTTTTAGATGATTTTTTTTTTACAAAAATAAAAATTTAGACACGGTTTCGATATTAAAAATAAGCTCTAAGGTACAATGGGAAATTAAATATTCCAGCCTGTATAGTTGGGACCATGTGAAGAAGTGGACGAGACGTTATATACAGTATATGTACACACATATATATTTATATATATATATATATTTATTTATTTTCTCTTCTTTTTTCGGGTATTGAAATAATTTGCCTGAAACAATAATTGGATAACAAAATACTTGGTTATTCAAAAAAAAATTCATCACAATCCATTTATATGTCGCACATATAAGGAAGTGGTGCAGCGTGAGAGGCACGTGCATGGTGCAGGGGATAATAATGGGAAGAGGCTTGTTTGGTTGGGGATAAAGCTCCACCCCTTCCCTATCTGGGATCCACTTGTTCCCTCTTCCCAACACGCCTTCTTTATTTGATTTATAGTTAAATGCCGATTAAAATATATATACTAATTCATTGGGGAGAAAACTCGAGGGTCTTTCCGTAATTTAGCACTTGTGTACTTCTGCAACCCTTGTACACTCAATCTCCAAGTCTCCGCCGTTCAGATAGTTAGATTCTGTGATTTCATATTTAATTTTTTTTAAAATCCCGCACTCATCTCTCTCTCTCTCTCTCTATATATATATATATATATATATGTGGATATGATCATAGATCGTCACTCGGCCTACTTTCTTTTTAATCTCAGAGGCCCAAACACGCAACCAACGGAGACAGGAAATCAATCATCTTAAGAACAAGGTGCGTACTAAATTATTTTATTCATTTATAATTCATATATATATATATATATGCCTGAAGTTTGTTAAATTCCCAACTCATAATATATACACACGCACATTTCTTATTTTAAAAACAAAACCATAAACGTACATTGGGTTCTCTTAAAAGACATATATTGGGCCGTGGCAGCATTTTATTGGGCCTATAAGATTTAGATTTGATTCTTGTTTTATGTTGTTTTCTTCTCTTTGGATTTTGAAAAATCGAATTGAAGATATAAATTTGAACAGGAGATCAAGATTGTATGTGTAAGAACATGAAATCTAGTTATTATATAGTAAACATTTCTTCTGTAAATGAATGTATGTATTTATTATGTTTGCAAAAAAAATATAAAAATTTTAAAATATATTTATAAACTAATAAATTAAAATTAATGGAATACGGGTACATGACTCTTGGGGTTTTATATATAAAGATGTATGTGTTTATGTATATAATATAGATATAAATGACTAAAATATAACTATAATATATATTTACAAATATTTAGCTTCACCGAGTCATTAAACCTACTATCCTATATATGTCCACGTAATTGTTTTGGGGTAATATCATACAATATGTGATGTGAAACTTGTAACGTTCAATCTTTTTAAGATATATGCAGACCAATTTTAAAATGATTTATTGATAAAAAAATAGGGTTTCTAACTCA